CTCGAGCGCGAGAACGCGTCGGCGCCGCGGCAATGGCCGGATCACCCTGACCTTGCCCAAAGCTTTCGCTACAACTTCAAAGACAATCGTACAAGCCGTCCTCATCTATAGGTCCTTCCGTGCTCAAAATTAGTTATGAGAATGCAGACACGGTATACATTTGTAAATGGCAAGGATAAAGTCTGATGAAAATGGACAGGAGCTCGGGACCGAACGAACAGGGCAAGGAAGCGTGCTCGCACAAGGATGAGACGAATGGATCAATGGAGGTAGGTTGTGGTCAACGGATCTGGCATTGCAAAGCCAACGGACACAACATCGTATGCAAGGGTGGCATGTAAAAAATAAAGAGCAAGAAAGTAACAAGAGCGGTCTGGCTAGTAGATGGAGGATTTATCCAGTGCTCCGTTCTTCGCCGGTTTCAACGTCTGTCCAACACGCGAGGGAAGACGCCCGCGTTTGATAGAAGTAGCTTCCGCAACTTTGTATGACCAGGATGCACACTTGTTCCCGGAGAAATATATTGTCTTGACGCCAGACAAGTCTTCTGCATCGGGCCAGATATTGTACTCCCGCCACGGAGCAATGTACCTGAAGCGATGATGAGACGCACTGACTGGCTCGCCGTCGGCACAGTTGCTTACCTCATGCCACAATGTGTGAGATCCCAATACCACTTGAAGTTCCGCGCAGAATCCCAACCTTCAATACGGCGAAGTTCTTCGAGGATGGCGCATTCGAAATCCTTCGTCGCTTCGTGATCGTAGTTGGTGTACAGGCTCAACACCCTGGGGCGCTCCCGGCTCGTGAAACAGGCCGGCCATTCGAGCGACGCGGGCGCGCCGGGGTACTCTTGCAAGTGCTTGAGCAATCGCGAGCGCGTGCGCTCTAAGTACGATGCGGTGTGCCTTCGCCGCTCCCTCGCCTCTGGATCAGTAGTCCCAAGAGGAAGTTCTATCTCTGCGAGCTCTGCCCACTGCAAAACCTCCCTGTCGGACAGCGCGAGTCCATAGTGCATGACTGGGACATCATAACCGCGAGCATCCTCGGGACGAAAGCGTTTTTCAAGAATGGTTTGGGCAGAGCGTAACTGTACAAGAGTGTCAAACACCTGAACTGACGTTAGATTGACAGACTTGCATAGGTGTAAACTACACGTACAGCGTTGCTAGCTTTCTTGCCTCTCTCCGTGAGATTCAAACCGTCGTATTTTCCACCCATGCCAAAGAGAGGCGCACCACGCGCACCTCTGACGTAGTCAATCAACATACTCGGTGTGACCCTTTCGTAGAAATCTCTGCTTGCAGCGTGAATGTAGGGAGCTTCGGGTTCGATCGACATAGCGAGGGTGGGAGAAGTTAGCGACGCCGCTGCGAAAGGCTCGAGTATTCCGCGCGTGCTATATGACGAGCTTCGGTAACTGCCGAGATCCGGAAGACCGTCCGGCGCCAGCGCTGCAACTTGTCTTCTAGCCTACATGGATCCGAACATGTCTTACTGTAACTCGTTCTCCGTGTGTACACGTCCGGATCGGCTTGCCACGCGCGTGTTCAATGAACTGAATCGACCCCCAGTTTTGGTCAAAGAGTGTTCTCAACGACTACCGGCTGGGCATGGGATGTATGCCCGGTACAGACACATGGATCCGGTGCGTGTGATTAATAGATCGAAGCCGGACTCAGATAACGAGTCCTTCGTCTACTGGGCGCCTGGCGCTTAAAGGGGCCGCTTCCATGTGAGCATGAATCGAGGACGGTCTCAACACGTAGCGCGGTGCTATAGTCCCTCCGCGTGTGCGATGACGAAGCCAGTTATACACTCATGTCGGGTACGCGTGCGCCAACTCTTTGTTAGTGCCCGCCTGTGGTATACTCTCAGTTTCAAGTAGTAATGGCATGAAGATGTTTCACGGAGAATCACGGTTTCAGCCAACTTAGGCCCGCTATCTATCCCTCAACCGAGCCCGTGATCTCCATGCCTGTGAGTCTCCCCGCGCCCTCCGGCGAGAGCACACCTGTGCGAACTACACAGACCCGTGGCATACATCGATGTTATCTTACCCAGGGGCCCTCACGTCTCCTCGAACGAGCGTCGCATAAAGGCTTTCCGAGTGGACCGTCAACTCGACTTATACCCTGGAGTGCTGTGATATCCTGTCCTTTTGCGCTCCTGTAGACCTGCACGCATATCTGTACCTCATGTCGGAAACCATAGGAGATTGGACGCCGGACCGGCTTTTACACGACATACTCGACAACAGTGGAGAGGTACGCCGAGGCTCTCGGGCTTTTGACAGCTCTTCATCACCCATAATACTAACATCTATGGCCAGAACACTGTTCCAGTCAAGCTATGGTTGGGCGTCGTTCGCTTCATGACCTACGCGTGGGGATTGGCGCTTCATGACGAGCAGAGAAGGGAGCTGAGAAACATGGCGGCCAGCCTACGAGAAGACTTCGCAGCATTGTCAATTGTTTCGAAGGACGTCATCCTGGAAAACGTTGTTGCTGCGTACCTGTTTGCTTGTAGACTTGAGCGGAATCCCTTTGACGACGACACCGGCTTCGACGAGGATGAAGGTCCCGAAGGAATCCCAGTGGCAGAGCTCCTCAAGGGAAACCACGAGTGGCGCTCTTACTCTTACATCATGGTGCTCTTGGTGCACCACGACCTAGAAGTTGCAAGCTGCAATCTATTCAAGTCTACACCTATCACAGCGGCCCAGCCACGCATCTACATTCCACAGCACTCTAGCCACCGCATCGCTGATTACGGGACCTTATTCGTGGACGGCCTTACGGGGTTCTGGCGATCGATGGACTGTGTCGTTGAGATCAAGCCCCCCACTGAGAACGCCGAAGAGTCTAAACGTGAGAACATCACACCAGCAGGCTTACAAACCTATCGCCTACAGTCCATCAACCAGCACTCTCAGCAACTGACCGCCTACGCGGACTATGCTTTCCAGCTGCAGCCCCATCGGAGTGCAGTTTGCGTGCTACTCGTCATGGGGCGCATATTCTCATTACTCGTGTACCCAAACCCCGAACGCAGTAGCGTCGATGTTCTCGATGACCTCTGGCCTTGGCGCGCCAGTCTTCAAGTGGCTGCGAAGGAGTCCCGCTCTTATCTCATCCTACAGGCAATCAGCGCGGTCGAGAAGGGTTCGAAGTGGAAGGGACTGGAGGAAGAGGAACGTCAGCGGCGAAGGGATAGTTTTGCTGAGCGCATGAAAGAGTTACACTCGCGGCATCCCGGAATTGTCTATCACGCTGAGGAGATGTTCACCTTGGACGACAACAAGAAAGCCTCGCTGACGGCAAGGTTTCGACACGCCCTTCAGATCATTCGCCGAGTGTCCGGACTTTCTCGAGACGACACTAGTTATAAACTACCAGTTTGGGCCCTGTTTGGCATCTCTGACGAAGCCATTGAAGGTATCGTCATGGATGACGACGAGCAGGTTTGCCTTGCAACTATGACCACGATGAGAGATGTGCTGACCGCGATGTATCGACAGTGGCTTTTGCAAGGCGAGATGGACGATTTCACCAGCAGGGACATCGATATTGCGAAGCAGATACTCGTTACGACGTCTGGCTCGAAGTCTGGCTCAAGAGCGAGTCGAGGTCTAGAAGATCGCAAGGGATCGAGCTCGGATGGCTACAACTTGCGCTCAGCTTCGTCGCCGCTACACCAATCAACACACGCGTCAGATTACCAGCCCGAGCCGACATCTGCCTCTGCCTCGCAAGATGATTGAACTGGCCTGGAACGCTTGTCAGCCCCACACACGGCTGAACTATGTAGCAATGGTTTTGAACAGTCTCTTTTTAGCACTAGCAATGGAGTTGAATGTATTTCAGTGGTATGCTACCCAAACTGATCCAAACACCGGCTTTACGTCGACGTCCTACCTTCACAGTATGGTGGTACGAACGTTCGAACATTCGACCACTGGTATAACCCTTCTCTGCATTTCCCGCACGGTGTTCGTGCGGGTTGATTACCAAGTTTGCGCGAATCAATTCCCATGTCTTCCCAGCCTGTCCCGAAGTCCGGACCTTTGCCTCCTGCCCTCCAGCCCCGTCGACCGTCCCGTCAACTCAGGAATTTAGCTGCCAAGCAGACCTCTCCAACATTATACGACTTGTGGCAGACCGAGCGAGGACAAGGGAGGGGCGGAGGGAGCGAAAGCACGGTGACGCGGCGGCCCGAGCCGCGTGTTTGATTGACGAGCACACGTGCCTTGCCGCGTGTGTCGCAACTCACGTTGCCGTCTCCCTCGTCATCCTCGTACAGCCTCGTGCAATATCTTCCGCTATCATAGCTCATATACCTACTGCTTCTATACTGACAAGATCTACCAGGGCTCCGCCCCGTGCTGTCTAACTGAACGACGATCGGAAAGTGCCCTGTGAAGCCACGGCGCCCGAACCCGCTGGGAGCCGCCAATTGCCATGGCTTCTGGGGAGCCGTGCCTGCAGGCACGATGCCAAACCGGCTACTGGTTGCTCGCGTCTTATCCAGGATTCGACTCCTTGTGCGTCGTCTTCTGGACAATCGTCTTCTGGACAACTTCGTTATTTCAGATATCCCAGCTGGACCATGGACGTAGTGTAGTCCGAAGAGAAAACTTCAAGTTAAAGCACTATCTGGCAAGATGCGGGTTGTTTCGAGACGGGCGTTGGCATCTTCTCGTGCCCAGCCTCGTGTGTGTTCTTAGTGTTTTCCGAGACAGGGAGAGGTTCCGCCCGCCGTCCCCCGTGAGTTTGAAGGGGCCAGTTACAGAAGTAAAGCATTCCTTCTGCGGCGTCAGTAGACGCTGTGAGGAAAAAGGAGCCAGTCAGCTTTCGGGCGCATGGTGTATCTGTACGGCGTAGATAGCGTCCCTCGGCACGACACTGATGTCACTGGGGGTGGAGATGTTAGGAAGCCAGACTATGAGCTGTTGATGGTGGTACGCGCGGCGGCGCCCGTACCACTAGTCTCCCGAGTTATTCAAGGGCGATGTCGAGGTCATCTGAAAAGAAGATTACGACGTTGACTGCACGCCAAATAGCATGAGGTGGCTAATTAGCTCGATAGATGGGAGAGCGTGGATGGTCCTGTATCCGTGACCGAACCGGCAAGCTAGGTGGTGAATCTCGTTGCCTTAGGGTCTGTAATGAGTATGCTCTAGACGCTGATAGCATTAAGTGAGCATAGGAGCGCGTACTCGACGTCAGCAGCATAGACAGTAATTGCAATATAGGCTACGCAAGTAGAGGTATGGAAAAGTTCGGTATCCGTCCATGATCGAGTTACGGAGGGCTGTGAGTACGTCAAATCCGCTGTGTATTGGCTGATCGTTGCGGCAGAAGGTAAGCCCTACACCAGACGTGAGGGTCAGATGAATTCGACGAAGTTCATTCAAAGAGCAAGACGTACCGTGACGTGTAGATGTTGTACCGCTTTTTGAGCAAACGCGCTGCGAACTCCCCCCTTGATAGTCATATCGAGTGGTGGTGGTGGTAGCTGCCCAGCTGTACAAAGCCACCGGCTGTTCCGTGCAAGTTCAGCCTTGGTCGTCAATGAGCGCGCGGCGTGAAGAGAGTCCAAGGATCGAGGTTCTGCAGTCTGCAGGTCAAGGTTGACCGGGTCCGGAGAGTTTTTCATAGCGTTGCCCGTCGACGAGAAGTTGGTGCCGACGTTGAGGTTTTCAAGTGGGGAACCTCTGCATTGTACAAGACCCTTTACGGATGTGAGCCTACGGCAGCACGGCTAGGAGCACGAGACGCACATTATCGGGAGCCCGAAAGATCTGCAGGCCAGAAGTGAAGGGCTCAGCGAGCACGGCCGTGACAAGGTTGAGTCCCCCGTGAATGTAAGAATCTCTAGACGTAGAGCTCGAAGCTTGGTTGTCAAAGCGCGTGTGATAACGTGAGTGAGAGCAATGTAAACACTCCCAGAGGTGACTCGACTAGGGTGCTTTGATCGCCACCTACAAAAGGATGATCAAACTAGGAGAGTTGCTCGGCTGGAAGAGAGATGCCGATGCTACACTGTCGTTCTCGACGATAAGCGTCACGTTGGGCATGATCATCGTCCCGAAAAGACCATCTCCCGGGGTAGGCTGCGTGTCAAGGTCGCCAACGGCCAAGTTCGGGTGAAACGGAATGGTGATCGTTGCTACAGGACAATCAGCGTTGAGATATTGACAGATGCGAGGAGAGTGCACACCGTCAATGTGAACGTTGATACTCTCCACAACATTTTGATATCCGTGATACAAGGCCCGGAAAGAGGATATCATAGTTATGAGCAAGCGCTAGCAGGCGGATCAGCCTGTAGCACAGCATGATTGGGTAGAAGGGGAGGAACGAACGAATGAGGGAGAACACGTATCTCAGGCCCTCACGGGATGATGGTAAGACTCAAGTCGCGTTGCACAGTGAAGAACCCGCCGCGCGCGACACGTCTCGGGCGCGAAGTTGCCTTCACATGGCGGGCGCCTCCGCGACACGTCTGGGAGCGTATGCGCGTATGTCCGGATCCGGCTAAGTCAGGTGCACCGCGCAACCAGTCGGTTGCCCGCCAGCTCCCGATCCCACGCGTCCAACGAAGTCGCGCCGGACCGAAACTTCACGGGTTTCACGGCGTCAATGCAGTGGCCGTGCTTGAAAGACGCATGGGCTACCGTATACCTGCCCTAAGATGGTACAAAATATATCAAAATACTACACACGTCCTGTAATCACCATCGTACAGGATATAAGCGAGGGGTTCTTGGTGCCATAGCTCCTATTCGCGTTGGGTGTAGTGGTCCCTCCGGCGCGGTTTCCCTATCATCCTCGTCCCTATCATCCGAACCATCTTCGTCCGTTTGACGGCCATCCCGAGATACACTTGGTGATGGTGTGCGGACAGTCAACGGAATGGGCTTGTCATAGTTCAGGTCGTATCCCACGGGATGGTTGTAGACTGTATGCGGTCGGCTACGACGTCGCGGTGGATCGCCTTGTTCTTGCTTATTTCGCTTCCGCGAGCGCTTGGTGCCAGGCGGGGCTTCCAAATCGACCGTCCAGTACGAGCCGCGCCCGGGTTCGTTTGCTCGGCGCACCACCTTTGCGAAACAGTTGCTGAGCGAAAGATGATGCCTGACAGAGTGCTGTCAGATTACATCTCGTGAGCATCCAAGATGATACTACGTTGGAGGTTCATACACACCTTCCATGAGTCGTCTGGCGGTAATGCTGCAAAGTGTGGATACTTCTGGATGATGGCTGCGTAGATGTCCGTAATTGTAAGGCGCCCCCATGTGCTCCCCAGGATCGCCGCCCGGATGATAATCGGCAGGGTATACCTCGGTTTGCCATTGGTATCCTGTAGGCAGCTGAGGGAACTGGGGCAATCGGGGTGAGGTGGATGCTGCCCATCTTCATCAATAAGTAAGGCAGGCGCTCCAGTATATTCGCCAGGAGGACCAGGGTTCGAGACACGTGGGGGTGAAACCGGAGGTTCTACGAAGTCGACGGAGGATATCGATGAGAGTCGGCTGGCTGGCGCTGGGTCAGGTCCGGGACCATCGAAAGGCTCTCCAGGGGGTCTGCCCAACGGATGTGATGTAGTGACAGGCGTGGGTAATGCGCCAATCAACGTCGAGTACGCGTATGCACGCGCATTCTGCATCGGTCTTTGCATTGCCAAATCCAATCGCTCGCTGTGGGCATGGACGTCGATCACAGCCCAGACAATTTTCAAGCCGTCGCTCTGCCGTACGAATTCCGGACTCGTCGCCAGTGTATAAGTAATGGAAAGCTGTAAGGACTTGTCAGGGTGACTGTCGCTGTTGAACACTTGCGAAGCTGCATACTTTGAGATCATACTCGCGCCCATCGTTCTTGTAGAACGGATACTTGCCTTTCAATGCGGCAAGTATGTCATCGACGCTCAGGTGTCCTTTCCCGCTGCCAAGGATAGCGCACCGCACGAGCGTCTCAGGTTGATCGGCTGGTGCGGTATCGACATCAGCTAGGCAGCCGAGCGAGTTGGGACATCCTGGATGCGATTCGTGGAATCCGCGATGTGAGAGGTAGTGGGCGTAATAGCGTGGCTGCAATGTCATAGCAGATAACGAAGGCCTTGTGTAAGATACGTCCTCAACAGTCGCTTGCCCATGTCCGGTGGCTCTAGGTGGCGATCCTTCCCTTTTGTGGCGTTTGAAAGATGAACAAACAACACTCGCTGTCGGCATGGGCGAAGAACCAACCTGGTGCGCGGACGTAGGAGCCCTTGTACGCTATACATGGATCAGACGAATGCGCCCAGGTCAGAAGGGAAGGACTAAATTGAGTAAGTCTTCGGTCATCTTCGTCGCTATATGAGCCGGTGGGTCCCGGAGTATCACGCGATTGCTGATCACCGATTGTCTTCTACGTCAAGCGCCTCACGCGAAGCATGCGTTGTACAGCCTCCGAACCGTACAGTTAGGCGTTCATGCAGTCAGACGGCCAGTTTGAGGAGAACCGAAGACAGCGGCGGATACCGCAAGACGAGTGTTCGACCGCTCTATCGATTTCTCAGGAGATTGATAGTGAGCCGACGATCCGCGGTCAGGCCACGGGCGTTAATCACCGTATCGGCCGTATCCCGCATTTATGATCTCCCAGCACCGCCACCGGTATACTCAACCCCGTTCTTCTGCAACCCCATCACAGTCCCTTGCAAGGCTCTCTCCCATCCTCCGTTGCCTACTCGTTGACAATACGTTTTCAAACGGCGCTGGCCTCCCCGTGCCAACACACACGTCGTACTCAGGTCTCGCGGAACCATGGATGCCCACAGAGACGGCCGGGTGAGCTTACGCTGACGCTCGATGCCGGCACCCTTCCGAAGCTGAAAGCGTCGAAGTTGAAGGCGGCAGTTGGGCGGCAGAACAATATCTACTCGCGATCTAGGCTGCCTGTGCCCGGGAAAGCAGTCTCGTTGCCTCTGTATCGCGGAGCCGCATAGCTCAAGAATATCAAACCAAGGGCGCATGCACGTATAGGTAGACACGTCCGGTCTTCGAAACCTCTGCTATGGATCTCTTTATGACATAGAGCTGACCACAGTCTCACCGATTAATTGTCCTGTAACGCGCATGTCCGTCTTTCTGTCATAGGCCCAATTGAGGGACTGGTCCAGCCATGAGCTATGATGTTGCGGTCCGACCCTTGCAAGCTCAATCAAGAATTCGAGAACCCAGACTTCAAATCAGTAGAGCAAGTCAGCGACGTCATCACTCGATTCAGGAGGTAATGTACACTGTACAGTCAAGTAATCGAACTTAGCCGGTCGATGAAGAATTCCAAGACGGTCGATTAAGTATTGAAACCGAGACAGTCGAATAAGTATTCGAAACAAGACGGTGGATTAAGAATTCGAACAAGACGGTGTATTAAGTAATCCAAGCGAGGGAGTCGATGAAGTATTCGAAACGGACTCGAATAAGAGATCAAAACGCAAACCCGGACCCGCCAAAAATGAAGAGTACGGGATGGGTGTAAAGAGCGTACAAGCAGGACGTGGCGCGAGAACATACCGAGTCGATCCACATCAGTAGCTAGCATTAGCGCGAGCGCAACCTAAATGGATGTTCATTTTACAATCTGCGTAGGCAACATTTGACACACGCACCTCAATGTCGCGACACGCAGAGCCTGCCTATCATGCCATCCATCTCCTACTTCTCCCTGCGTTGGCAACCGCTCAGCGGTACGGATGTCTGACCTTTTCGAGGCCATGGCTTTCGGGGCGGTGAAGGCAAGATGCAACTGATGGGCCGCGACGCGCCTGCGTTGCCGATCAATCGGCTTCTCCCGACCATCAGTGAACTTGGCGAATGTCGTCATTCACGATTGATCATAGGTGTACTCTACAAATACAGCAAGAAAGTATACAAGGTAACTACAGGTGACAGTCATTTCTCGGCTGAACCCTTTGACGATGCTTCCCCAACTGCGTGCGTCTTCTTGGTGCCCCGCGCTCTCGACCTCGAACTCGTAGGCGATCCCGGCGCCTTGATCGGCGAAGCTGAAGCCGACCGTCTAGCGCGCTTGGTCGCCTTTGGGCTCCTCGTGCTGGACCTGAGACGACCTGCCTCCATCTCCTTCAGCTCGTCCGCGCGCTTCGACAGGATGGCCGTCACGGCGGCTGTAGCGTCGTGATTGATGGTGGTCAGCGCGGTGAGTACGGGGTCTCTGACGGAGAACTCCATATCTTCGCCGCCGTTCGCCCGCACGAGANACGGGGTCTCTGACGGAGAACTCCATATCTTCGCCGCCGTTCGCCCGCACGAGAGCGTCCAGCAGCCGGGCGACTTCACCCACGCACGGCGCCCAGTCTTCTCCCAAGACGTTGCTCGCACGGGCCTGAAGCATCCCACGCACCAGCAGGATGTATCCACGCCGCCCGTGCATGAGCGCGACGTCGGCGAACTTGAGAGACCGGAGCGTGCTCATGCAGGAGAGCATCTTGTGCTCGAGGTGCGCCTCCTTGAGCGTATTGCGCACGTAGCTTGGGTCGTCGACCTTGCATGCCGCGCGGCGGTGCGAGACCCACGAAATGGCGCTAGACGGGAGGCCGGGCATCTCGTGTCCGAGCTATAGAAGTGAAGGTAAGCTTTCCATCGATCGCCCGCACTTCAAGCCACTTACCTCGAACCAATGCGCAAGTTCCAGCTGCACGAGCGGTTTGATCATTGACACGACGACCTCTTGATGATCTTTGCCCCACAGGCTGGCGTACGAAAACGCAAAAGCCGCGAAGCGCATCACGGCGTCGGCGAACTCGAATGTGGGTCCCTTCGGAGCGGCGCCCTTATTGAGCGCGACGGCCAGTACTTCTTCCGCACCTATACTTTCGTTCTCCATCTCTTCCTCGGACGAACTCAGCTCCTCTATATCGCTCCTCTTCCTCTTCGAGGCTGGCGTCACAGACCCCGAGGTCTCCGCGTCGTCCTCCTCAGCCAGGATCGCCCGAGTTGCCGCGCGCCCCGTTCGCGCGGATGAGCGCCTTGTCTTCAACGCGCGCTCGGAAGCGCATTTATCACCTTCCGCAACATTCTCGTCTTCGGACGCCCCGGCCAGTTCACGAGCGACACGTAGATCGTCGTTATCCGGCTGCGTCTCGACCTCGGCGTCAGTGGTTGTTGAGTCGATGCCGTGCACGGCAGATTCGCGAGCGTCCAGTGTGAACGGTTCTTCGAGAAGCTTCGTCCAGGCTTCGGCGTCTGGTGATAATCGGTCAGTACGCTCTTGCAGCATGACCCAAGTAAGTACGTACGTGCGTTACCATCGACGCGCTTAGGCGCCTTTTCGATAGTCTCTGCGCTCGTCGCGTCTTTGATGCCTGGCCCGATGTCAGATCATCCCGGTGCACGCCCAACCGCCCCTGCTCACCGTCTTCGCGGACCGGCGTCGACGCACAGTCCTGCGTATCGCTAGTAAATTTGCCCGACTCTCTTGCCTCTGCGAAGAGATGTTGACGTTAGCCTGCCCAACGCGAATACACCAGAGGTACGACACTTACTTTGTATCGATGACGGGTCACCCGCCGCCGCAACTTGAGCGCGGGCAGCTTCCTGGGCCTGGGCCAGAGCCAACCGCGCCTTGGCGACTGCCAGCTCGGCTTGAAGAACGGATTCCGACATGTGAAAGGGGCGTAAGAGGTCGCTGTTGGGTGGTGATGGTATGAGTTAGAATGCAGCAAGTAGCGAGTCGGGAATAAATACCTCAGGCTAGCCCCACCTCGACGCGCTTCCCACAACCTGAGCGCGATCAATCCTGCCCATGTACCATTCCCGGCGTAAGACGATCTCAACTTGAGCGCAATTAAACGTGCCCACTTACCCTTTCCAGCGCAAGAATATCATTCTCGGTCTCAGTATGACTCACGAATAGTGACCCCTGTATGAGAAGCGTGCGTGCGCGCGAGCTTGGGCCCCACGAGGCCGCCGCGCGCGATATGTGGCGTCGCCACATTTAGAGTTCGGTGAGCATCATACCTTCGTCAGTCCAAATAATGTCCAATGCCTGTCACACACAAGTACAACGAGCATTGAGTACTATCAGAGTCTAGCGGACGATTCTTCAAGGCTGCGAGGCCGCTCGCCATCGCCGTTGGAAGCAGGAAGACACACGCGCGCGCGCGCGTTGATGGATACGATTCTCCCGCGCTTCCACCACTTACCATTGGCCTCGACCTCGGTCTACACATCATGTCCAGGTTTAGGGCGGCGTACCCTGAACATGAGTGCGATGGGCAATGCCTATCACGCGCGTGCCACTCAGACATGTATTTGGCTATTTCTAGGCAGTACTGCATGTACCGTATACAGCCATGATCAGCGTCAGAGTTTGACGCGCTTTGCGTTAGCCCCCTTCTTGTCCTTCTCCGCCATATCGCTTGTATCTTTTGTCTCGCTCGACGCCGAGACCCTCTTCCTCTTCTCCTTCTGACCACCTGGCCCAGCGGCTGACTCCTTCGCAAGCGTCGCCGTGTCGCCTCCCGCCTTCTTGCTCGACCCTGCCTTCGTGCTCGGCTCCGCTGGCTGGCCCCACCCCATCGTTCTCTTCACTGTCGCCGAAACCACTCCGTTCGCCTCCATGTACGCCAACGCCTTTGACTTTGTTCTGGTTGAGGCCACGATCAGAGCGCGCCTCAAAGTAGTACGTCATATTTGCTTACTGCTCTCTACCCGAACCCTTCTGACGTTCTCCCTCTCCGTCCTCCGTTCCATTAGCACTCTCTCCCTGCGTCGCTGACGGACGTGCGCGAACCTGCTCTGTGCAGACCCGCAGCACTTGAGCCATGTCAGCCGCCGCCATCTCCCAGTCCAAGACGGATGTCCCGTCGCGCAAAGACTCCATATTGTCCGCCCACAGAAGCAACCCGATCACCAGCGTGCGGNTCCCCCAGTCCATTGCGCTATCGGCTGGACGCACAATCTCGTTCCCCTCGCGACGTTCGGCGGGCTGCAGCGCCACCCACTGCTGCGAACACGCCGCGCCAAAGTTCCAATCGAGACCATCACCAGCAGTGCCGTCACCGCCTGTACATACACCCACCCACGACAACTTCTGCGCAGACATGGCCCAAGCACGCAGGTACCGAGGGCGTACCGTTACTTCTTCGCCATGCATGTCGAGTTCTGCCCATCCCTCACACGCTCGGGCCGCGGCAGGCTACGCGATCGATCAGCTCCTAGCAGGCGCTGTGCTCATGCAGTCAAGCTTACCGGACTGGCGCCCTCGAATTCAAGGTATGCGTGCAATAGCGCGTATACGATCGACTTGCTGACGCTCCAATCAGCGCATCTGAACCCTACCTCCTGCAAGAACTTTCCTGCGTTGGCCTCGCGTCCCGTACACGCCTTGCGCAGCGACGTAGGTCAGCTGCTTTACCTCCTCGAGCAACATGTTCGCCACATCCGTCTCACACGGCATTTCAGTACGGGCCATATCCCCCAAAGCAGGGTCGCTCACCGTTTTGCGCGTTGGAATCGGCGCGATCATTACCGGATTCCAGCCCGCAAAAATCGGCTCGAAGTTCGGCTGTCAATATCTGCCCAGGCGCGCGCTCTCGATGCGTGCGGAAGCCATACTCACCGCATCCGGCATAGAAGCATTGCCAGGCGTTGAAGAAGTTGGGCGTATGTCCGTGCCCTCAGGCTAGACGCATACGTCAGCTACATGAGACGCTTCTTAGCTGATGCCCGAAAACCTCACCACATCCGCTTTCTCAGACGTCGTCACCGTTCGTTCGTCCGTATTGGTCGGACTCGTGCCCTTGCCTCCCGAGCCCGCGCTGCCCATTCCAGCTCGAGGATCCTCACTCTCTTCTTCGCTCATTACACGGTTGATCACCTTCTTCCGCGGCCTTGGACGCTTAGGCTCCACCTCCTTAGCACCTTTCCTTGGATCCCCCCCATTGCTGTCAGCGTCCCAAACGCCTAGGCCGCCATCGCCACCGTTGGACACCACACCCTCCGCACCGGAGTCCTGATCGCCGAACTTCCCATCGCCGTGTCGGCGCTTGGTGCTCCCGCGCTCATTGAACGTCGTCTTCTTGCCGACCAAGTCCAGGTTTCAGAGTCGTTCTCACTGCCCCCGCCATCGCGCTCTCCGCCGTCCTCCGCTGTCTTCCTCCTGCGCTGCCCTGTTTCCCCGATCTTCCCGCCACCGAGCGCTCCTGCCGTCGCCGGCGTCTTTCTCCCCTTGGCACTCTCACGCTCATTGCCCATCCTTCTCTTACAGACCAGGTCATCAGAGTCGTCCTCGCTGCCCCAACCATCGCGGTCTCCGCCCTCAGCCGCTGTTCTCCTCCTGCGCTGCGGCGTATCCCCGACCTTCTCGCCGCCGAATGCTCCTGCCGTCCCCGACGCCTTTCGCAGACCCCGCTGCTGTGCCTCGTCACTCTCCCTCCCATCGCGTGCGTCTGCCGGCGTCCGCCCGTAATGCCCATGCCTACGTCTCTTTTCCCTCTCGCTGCCGCCGGATGCGTCCATGATCCCGTGGCCCTTCTTCGCCGCCAGTTTCGTCTGCCACTTCAGCAATTCTTCCACTGCATCCTCGGGCTCGATGTCGTCCTTCGTAAAGTTCGCGTCTAGCGCCCATGGTGAGCTCATCTTTATCATGGTCAAAGACACCTCAGACGTGCTGAACACCTTCTTCCTGAACTCCCTGAAGCGCTCCGCCACGGTTGCAAACATATCGACATCCACCTCGCTATAGCTGAGGCCGTTACGCCCGAGATGAGCGGGGATCGAGGACCACTTATACCTGTACCGTGTCAGTGCTCGTCGCGCTTTAAAAGACCGCCACGCTCACTTATTGACTTCAACTTCAGGGATACCGTTTTCCGTGGTGGGCGAAGCCACCATCAGCAGTACGACGCCCTTCGTACCCTCCGCCATGATATCGACGAAGCGCTCGGCAAAGACTTTGAAGTCGCGCAAGAAGCTGATGGACGTTAGCGTCCTATGCGTCTCCGTGTGCGGGCTGTACTTACTTGTAGCACTCCTCAGGCGTCCGACTCGAGAGGTTCAGAGTCTTGTCAAAGTCCACTTGAGCCGCCTGCTGCAACTCCTCCACTTTCTCCTCCAACTCCGCCTTCAGGTCGTCGTCGATGGTCTCCAACTTGTCAAGCAAGAACTGGCGCCTGGTGTTCATCAGCAGAGGGCGCTTGTCATCTGCACCTCGAGGACGACTGCGCTCGGCCTCCCGTCTAGCCTTCAACTCATCCGTCCACTCCGGCTGCCAGAAGTTGTTCGCCAGCACTTGATGCGGAAAGACCTTGCTCTTCTCGACGCGAAGCGCCTTCAATATGTCCGTGACCGTCTTCGCCGCCTCGTTTTTCGCCGTCTCTTCAGTCTCCGACCCGTCGCTCCTGTTCTCCTCATCCTTGACCTTCGCCTTCGCCTTTCCTTCCGACTTCGACTTCGTCTGCGCCGCGCTCGGCTGGCCTGTCGGGTTGTGCCAGCGGACAAGCGTCCTGTTTACAGCCTTACCTAGGTCAGTACTTGTACGTCCGAGTCCGAGTCGCCGTGCATCACTCACCAAGCGCAACTTCTTCTTCAGCGCCTCCTGCTTCTCTTCGCTAATCTTCGAAAGGTCGTCCGCGCAGACAACATCCTTCTTGGGTTCCAACTCGTCGACGGTCAGCTTGCGGGAAGGCTGCAAGAGACCATACTTCGCCATCAAGCAATTCGTCCCTTTCGTCATGGCCTTGGTCTTCAGCTTCTTCTTGTTGCCCGCGTCGGTCCAGTCTTGGCCTACGCGGGCAGTCAAGCTGACGAACTGCTTGCCGGAGATGAACGCCGGTTGTCCTGGACCTCGTACTTCTTCGATATCCGACTCTTCGTCACTGGAGCGGACCAGGTCAGCCATGTTCAGAAGCAGAGGAGATAGTAGCGAGCGTGGATGAGAGGCAAGGCGAGGGAGCGCGCGGGGGACCGAGACCCAAGCGCCCGTAATCTTATTCACCTGTGCGCTTCGACCGCACATCAGCATACTTTCTTATCTGACGCACTGCCCGACAGGTACACATGTCGATCTCCACAGCGCCTCAGCCTCAGCCTACGCTCGTTCATTCAACCTTCCTCACTGCTGCCCCTTTGGAGGTGTATACTATAGTTTGTGCTCTATCGTTTCCGTCACAGCGTCGCTCAGTATCTCTGTCCCTCCCAGCGGCCTGTGGTGTACGCTCCGATGTCGGGATACACATCCGGTGCGCTCCCCTCGATCGCCGCCGAATCATCTCACCAAACCCCCCTCAGTATCCAGATCAGCCTCGGCAACCGCTTCATCGACCTATACGCTCGCATTCCCGTCGTGCGATCAAGACAAGGCATCCCCACTTTCTCCTCGCATGTACCATATCTCTTCTGCATCGCAAACGTCCTGTCGAGGGCGTTGGTGCACCGGAGCCAGCGTCACACCACCCGCTCGTCACCAGGGCGGGCTCGGGATTCTAGTCTCTACCGGAATTTCGGCATCATTCCGACATCGCGATCAGGCGGTCAGGCGCGTTCTGTTCAAGCGCATCGGACATCGACTCTCGAGGTCATGGTCTGCGTAGACACAGTCCTCAAACTCACGCATCTGCCATCCCGTTGTATGCATACGTTCATTCACGATTCCATTCTCACACGCTGTAGCGTGAGATGTCTCTTCGAAGCAATGTTCTGGCGGCGGCAAGCCGGCCCCCGGAAGCAAATTCGTATCTCTAATGGACCGCGGAGTCCAGCCCCACGGGACGAGGCGCTGCAAGGCAAGGCAAAGGTCTCCGCGAAGCGCAAGCCGACGGACACGCCGGGACCTTCGCCGAAGCCGAAGAAGAACAGACCGTAAGAACGCGGTATAGTTCGGACGTTTGCATAATCCGTGAACGCTCTGCAATTTTCATAGCGGTGGATGCCTGTACGATACATCCGGTTTGAACGAATTTTCTTGCACTCAGTTTCGAAATGAGATGATAACGACGCACTCAATATGAACAAACGCAAGCAAGCAGGTATACGTTGCATGTGAAGGTTTTGCGTATGAAAAAGATTGATTGTCCGTGCATGTGTACTCTACGTGGCAAAATTATGTAACGCATCGGTGGCTTGCATATCGCATTCGCCGAGTCTCTGCTTTCCGCGCAAAGTTCGGAGCGGATAGGAGAGACCGAAGTTCATCTGGGCGAAGCGCGAATTTAGCCTCGGACTAGCCGGCGACTGTATGCGTCTGCGTCCTCGCGCAGGCAAGAGGCTCCGTATCCTCCGCGCCGCCGACATCCGACTTCCCGCTCGGCCTCTTTCGCGGCGCGCTCACTTCCGTTCTCTTTAGACCTACTGAAGTTGTCAACATCATCAAGTCGCATTTGCTCGGTCATCTTCCGGTGCTGCCTGTCCCTCCCACCGAGTGTTGTCAATACGCGAACGCGCAGACGCGAAGACGTCGTTTACGCGCCACGCGGACGGCGAGGTTGATGCGGACAAAGCCCTCAACTGTAGACAAGCAAAGGAGATACGATGCGCAGATTTGTCTCATACGTTTCAAGCGGTCGTAGGTCTCCAATGTTCACCGCTTTCCGCTTCATCTCCGTTGTCATCTTTGGGAAGGACGAAGACGCCAACACCAGGGCAATTCCCTACCGCTCTTCGTGACCCTTCTTGTTTCCGGCCCACTGGTTCATTGCTTTATTACCGTTGTCTACTGCGACCACGGTTGTAGGCTGCCTGAAGACAGATCACAGGCGAATGGCCAGTTGCAACTGCAGTGAGTCGACAAGTAGTAAAGTCAAGCGCACTTTCCGTGCTCTTTCAAGGAGTATAGGCCCATCCACGCGTGCCGCGTTCTCCTCGGCGTTCGCGGGGTTTGATCGGGGCCGCTCGTCGTGATCGGACTCGTGTCCTTACCCTGGGTCAGCGCCGTTCACGCTGGCGGCGCTTCGAAACTCGACGTTTTCCCTTTACCTTCGCAGTACATATGAGAACTTGCATGAACGTTGTCCACTTTAGACGCCTCAGCGGAGAGTGGCGGTCGCCGTCGCATTTTCGCGCCGCCTCAGTGTTCCCGTTTCCCCGCTTCTCATCCGCCGGAGAGGACGCCGTGTGCCTGTTCTGAGCTGCAGCGCGCAACGCGGCCCCGGCGCCATTCTTTTCCAATCTCTTCAGCGTCTTCCGACGGTCCGCGCCAGGCCTCCTATCCCTCCCCTGCATTGCGTATCAATTTTGTGTGTGTTCTTGCAATCATTGCGCTTCCACTGAAGCACTCGACGTTGATTGCTTCGGCGCCTCTTAACAGGGACGTTAGAGCCGTCCCCGCGAGGGTCCGCGCGTGATGCAGAAAGGCGGCGTTATGAGCCCGTGTATCATAATTGAAGGCGCACTTTCATTAATAGCAGTGCGCATAGTATGTGCTATAAGTACGTTTCAGGTTACGGTACGGTATAGTTCTGGTCTGGGGGTCTGGGGTGAACGGACTCCAGGTTGCGGTCCGCGGACGAATGTGGAGCCGTGTTGCCATTAAGGGACGATCGATTAAGCTTTAAGATGCGCGTGCGAGATGGCGGATTCGGCCTCCGGCCGTGTGGTTGGTGGTTGGGGCGATTGATCGCATTTTTGACAGGATATAAATGGGACGGCGCCGCTTTTGAACTTTAACCCTACCGCGACCACCCTCGCGCGATTGCAGGCCGCTTCCTTTTGACCATCATCCTCATAAGCTGACAAATCTGCAATGAGCCGTCGAGTGCGTATAGTCTGAATGTGCTTTGCGCGCCGGGAACGCTAACATAGTTGTCCTAAGCGTCCGAGTAACCGCAAGAGGTTGGAAACCGGAGGCGTCAGGCCCACGATGCAGGACTGCGACTTTCCCACCATGGGGGAGGGCGTCGAAAAGGACGCAAATCTCTGTACAATCGAAGGATGGTCGTATATGGACAGGGATGATAGGGCGGAGGTGGCGCCGCAAACTTGCAACCGGGTAGTCGATTGTATTGGGAGTGAAGAGTGCGAGATGCTTCGGGAGAAGTTCAATCGTATCGGTGCGTACCTTGCACTTTACAAGTGCTCCATCCTGACTGTTGCAAAGGGAACGCGCATTTCTATTGGGCCGTGCCTCGCCAGGTTATTTCGGCCTCGCGTTCCGCTCCCGCCGAAGACCCGCGCCACCGTCCCGCCGAAGCCCCGCGACACGATCCCGCCGAGGTCCCGGTTCGCGGCCCTGCCGAAAAACCGCTTCCCGCTCTCGCCGAAAATCCCCTTCCCGCTCCCGACGAGGACCACCAAACAGAACAGCCGGCGAACCCTTTCTTAAAAGTTCGATGGCCACGGGGTGTGTGGTTCCTGATGGGCTGGCCGATGCCTGATGAGCTGGAGGGAAAGCCGGTTGTTTGGGATGCCGCGCGGGGCGAGGTCCGCGGTTGTCGCGCCTGCAGGGCACATAAATACGTGACGCGGGCAGGGCTCTGCCTAGACGCTCATGGAAAAGTGACGAAGTTGGATGAAGACCTACGCAAGGAGGAGGGGGAAGCGGCGTATCCCAAATGGAAGAAGGTTCATAAGAAGGACTTCAAGCCGGTTACTTCGCGCAAGCGCGTACGCGAAGATGACGACACGAGAGACGACAGCAGCGACAACAAATACGTCAAGAGAAAGGAGAAGGAAAGGGCGAAGAAGCGGGAGCGGCTTTGGTAGTCGGAACGCCTGTTCTCGGGGTTAGTGCTGACGAAGGCACTGGCGCGCGAGCGCGTCTGGACTCCTGGTATTTACAGCAAATGTCCGTGTTGTCTTCATTGTAATCGTATATGTTAACTTTTTATGCACAACCCAGAGGGTTATGCGTTACACTGTGAGTGACTGGGGCTACAAGTGACATGGGCTGCGAGTGACATGGGCTGGGTAAGGAGAAGTCGCCCGGGGTGAGATATTATTTTCGCAACACGTACGGGCTCAAAGAGCGGATAACAAATCAACTCTGCTGAAGTTACTGTCCACAGGTTTGGCGTGTGGTTTTGAATGGATCTAATTAATGCCTGAGGTGACGGAGCGCAATCCCTTTTGCGCTTTTCTCTTGCCCGAGCCCTGCGGTCGGTCAAGCCCTGACACTCAGTTCGCCACCGCATCGCGCGCAAACCGTCCTGAAGCATCAGGTACCACAATCGATGTATGATATATTTGAGAAAATGCATATCCGGTGCGTATTACAGGCCACGCATATACCACACTTCGTTCTTCTCCAAGCAGGCAGGTCGGACGCGCTCGTAAGCCTGCCCCGGTGACTCCGCGGTCATGTTTCCGTATACCCGTATTTCCTCTCCGACGCCAACCGAATGCGGGAATGACCGTCCGCTTCTGCACGGCCGTTAGCGTGATGAACGACAGATGATCGTGACACGGACCCTTCATACGCACACCTGCATGCATCCTGTCTAAGGCTTTTTGCCTCTAATGTCGCCGCGAGGCGCTCTTTGAGTTCGTCACGTTCGGCCTGCGCACCTCTTGCAACGGACCGCTATTCATCCAATGCCTTCCGCGAACGTATTGACGTCGAGGCGTTTATCTCCGTGTTCTCCGACGCGTCACGCAAGCCGAGTGGCGCGCGCAGCTCTTCTTAAAGTGTTAGGTGTTAGTGTTGCTTGCTTGTTCACGCGTAGACTGAACTTTAATACCCTAACAAGGGACGTCGTATTCGTTCTACTCGACGTGTTTTATTTACAAGCGATAATCCTCTCTGCTCAGTCCGTGTCCATCCTTATATACTAACGAGCCATCCATTCAAGTAGGTTCTACCGTACTCTACGTGTACAGTACGTTGAGCTGCGCATACAGGAGAGAGGTCGAGGATTGGCCGACAGGACGAGCCAACGCCGCGCAGTCTATGCGCGGTCCGGGCTCGAGCCAGTCCCCGAGGCATGACCCGAAGTGCGCGCAGCGCTGCGTCGAGCGTATGTCCTCGACGCTCGCCTCGATCCTTCTCTCGGGTACTGGATCCTACGAGTAGAATCCATCCCTATGCTATACGCGCAAAGTTCCGTTGTCGTATAGTATGCATCTACTATACATTGCATCCTACAATCCCTGCACACTCCCCCACCAGCGGGAGCCCGCAGGGTCGCGCGATAAGTTAGTTACCGAAGCTCCCGAATCAGTACAGTAGGTACCGTATAGTACGTACTAAACACACGATCGATTTATACATTATTGTCCGTTCATTCATACACAACCAAGTCCGAACCCATCAGCCACTCACAGCAAACCGAGGCGGCGCTCATGAATCTCCAGAGAGTACGTCCGGAGGACGTCCGGGAAGTCTTCCGCGCTGAACGAGTCGAGGTTCTTGACCTCGTCGCGGTGGTCGAGGAGGATACGCTCCAGCAGCGCGGCGCGGTACGACAAGTACGAGTGAGGCATGGGCGGGAGGCGAGAGAGACGCTCACGTCCAACACCAAGTGCGTAACGGCACTTCTTCTTGCTGACGATGCCCGACTTGGTCTTGACCGCCCATTCGAGGATCGTGACCGTTGGGCCCATCGCGTAGTCGACCTTGTCCGGTGATACACCGCACATGTGCATGTCGCGGTGGATCTTCTCGACGCTGACCTCGTCCGTGTACATGAGGCGCTGATACCTTGGTACAGGAAGCGCATTGCGCGCACAACGCCCTCGGTACTCGAGGTTGAGCACCATGGCGCATGCGAGAGGCAGACGCGGCCGAATCGCCCAGTCGATGAGCGTATTGGTGAGGTAGGACGAGTGATGGCCTTCGCGTGTCGAGCCGATGTACTTCCCGTTGATGTCAAAGTTAGGCAGCCCGTAGTACAGTTTCGCGAGTAGGTGCCGGTCCAGGTAGACCGAGTATTCCGCAGCCTCTTGCGGCGTGTGAGCCCAGTCAGGTGTGCGACTGATGGAGTAGTCCGGCGTGATGTACGGTCCGTCGTCAGCTTTTATGTTGCGCGGCGAAATCCGCGCGTAGGGCCTGTTGCCGACGATGTTGGCCTTGGCCTGGCGAACGCCGCGCGGCATCGTCTGCTGCCGAATACGGCGAAGACGAAGGCGCGCCATCGGGTCGGTGATAAACTGCGGCAGTTTGCTGAGGTCGTTGTACTGCTCCGTTGGTGGCAGTGCCACGGTGCGGTTGCGTGGAGGGACGACCTGCGGCGGCGCTACCGTCGGGTGCGGTGTGACGCAGCGCTGGCTCGAAACAGGCGTACCCTCTGTAATAGACGTGGTTAGTGCCTGCATCATTTCGAGGCACTGCTTAAGCATACCATCTACGTCCATGGCATTGTTGACCTTGGGAGGCGATGGTGGCGGCGACGGATACAGAAGGCGAAGTTCCTCTTCGTCGTCCGACGTCGTGTCGCTCGCTGCGTAAGGCGTAAGCGTTTTCTTGTACACGGTACGTGCCTCCCCCTCCTTTAGCGTATCTTGTGGGAGCGAGATATCCTCCGAAGAGGAACTCGGCGCAATGAACGCGTCCCCCACCGATCCTTCGTCGTTAATCGGCACTTGGATCGAGATACGCGCCTGGTCTTCACCCGAGGGCGCCATACCCAGCATCGAAAGGAGGTTCCTCAGTGTCTGCTGCTAGTGTTGTAGCGCTTCCTGCTGTTTCTGCTCGGCCTTGCGTTCAAGGTTTTTGTTCTTGACGCGGTCGTATGCGGCCTTGCGGTTCGCCTGCACCTGTTCAGCGTGGGCGGCGAAGGCTTCGTCGCGATGAAGCCGGCGTTCGTTATTGGACTCGACGAGCGTCCAGCCGTTGGCCGAGTCGTCGCCGGAGATCGAATCGATGGTGGTGTTGTTGTCGATGGAAGGCGCAGACAAAGGTGCCGACAGGTGCGAGTAGCGCGAGGAGAGCGGAGACGGCGGAGGCGCGTTGTGCTTGCAATCGTCGCTGTCAGTGTCGCTTTCTGCCAAGACGTGGTAGCCCATCACCTTAGACGGCGAGACTATGTTGTCGAAGGTAGGCTGCATTGTGTTGCTGTTGTGCGGCGAGTAAAGTCGAGCTGACTGACTTACCGCCGCTCGCCTCAGCCCTTATATACCTCCAGCTGTCCCGATCTCTTCCCCGATCTCCTTCCTACTTCGGCATCTCCAGACGTACTGCTTGTTCATTGATTAAGCAGTATTGTGAATAAGTTATTTCACCTTTGGGAGGCAGTCGGCACCAGGCCTATGGTGGTAGAAGGAGAGTGTATATAAGACGCGCCACAGCTTCCTTCATTTCGGCGTCTTATTTAAGCCGGGCGTCCCGCGGCTCTGGCGATTAGACTTTCATCTAATCGCGCGCGGCGGCTTTTCGACTCTTGCTTCTCGCGTTCACCTTCTGTTTGGGCAGTTGCTTCCACTCGCGTACGTTCTGGAGTACGCAGTACTCGTCCAGTGCCTTCAAGTTTTTGCAGGTCTCGTACGGTTCCCAGGTAACGTCACCGTCAGTCCAGTTCACCTCGAACTCAACTGACTTCAGCGATGTGCGCTAATTGATAGCACGCCCGTTTCTCCCTCCGATGGTTCCCCCACGTCGTATTCGTACGCGTTGAGTCGACTCGGGAATAGTTCCTCGTCACTCTCATGCGGTCGCAGCTGCGATGCGTGAAATACGTTGTGTATATTGCGGCTGGCCAGAACTTCTGGCAGCCCGACGTGGTAAGTCGAAGTCTCGGGGAACACCTTCGTTATGGCGTACGGCCCGATCCATCGAGGCACAAGCTCCCGTGCTCGATTTTTAGGTATGCTTACATTTGCTGTGCTCAGGTACACCTTCTGGCCGACGCTGAATTGTTCTTCAGTGTCTTTCTGTCGGTGTTTGTTCGACTGGGAGGTTGCTCGCGCTCGGTTCGCTATAATGGCGTCGTGCGCCATTGCTAGCGCATCGAGCGCTTGTTGAACGAAGCTTACGACACCAGGTGATCCTTGACTGGTTGGTCGTATGCTGGTGATTGTTCGCGGCATGTAGCCGTAGGTTAGCTCGAATGGTGCGCATCCTGTCGCTGCATTCACCGCCGAGTTGATGGCGAATTCAGTGACAGGAACCTTCTCCTCCCAATCGGCGCACCATTGAGCGTAAACCCTGCACCAAGGTACGTATTTTACGCTCTGTGACGCCATCCGTTTGTGGATGGTACGCTGTTGACATTGTTAGTTTAGTTCCGAGCAACCGATGTGTCTCCCGCCAAAAGGCGGATATGAACTTCGGGATACTATGGTCTCTGAAGCCGTACGACCTCCTTCACGTAAGTCCACGCCAAATCTCGCGCTGTTGTCGTGGTCTTAACAGGGCACGAGATGCGTTAGGGACGTGAAGCGGTCGACAATGACCCAAAGATAGTCGTGCCCTTGCTTCGATTTCGAAAAGGGGCCGGCAAAGTCCATCGCGATCGATGCCCACGGCGCATACGGTACCGGCAGGCTGTGGAGAAGCCCGTACGGCTTCTGTGTTCGCATCTTGGTCGCCTGACACGTCGCGCAGGTTCGGCAATACGCGTCGACGTCTCGACCTAAGCTCGGCCACCAGAATAGGTCGCGCACATACTCGCAGGTACGATGTGCCCCTAGACGGCCTAGTACCGTATGTATTCCTTCTAGTACCTTCTCCGTGAGCTTGCACTTACTCTAGGTACGCAAATAACCAGCTTCCCGTTTCGGTTTGCATGTATATGATGTCCTCCTCCATAGTGAATTGACTAATGTTCTTCTTCCCCTTGCTGAACAACGGATCCTTGTCGTACGCGGTGCGTATTTCCGATAGAAAGGCGTCGTCATTTGCAAGGTTTACTGGCTGCGCTTTGTGTTCGCTGAATAGGGAGTCGAACAGTTCCCGGTCCAAATCGGGATCATCGGGATCTGCCCTATCTTCATTGCCTTCGCTGACGTCTTCCGTTACTAGCTCTGCTTGAGCGGCCTGTTCTAGCTCCTCAGCTTCCTGCTCTCGTGTAATAGTTGTACTTCTTCTTGTCCTCAATCAGCGGTATACGATGATTGATTGCTCGCATAGGTGGTAGTACCGGTGGAACGCCCGACATTATGTCGGCGTTCATCTTGATCCACTTATCGCTTAGACGCTGACGTGTGGCACTATCAGGTACGCCCTGTTGTGCTTCCATCAAGCCTAAACGCACTTTGCGATTTGTGGGTCCTTGTGTCGCTTCTGGGCTGTACGCGCTTCGGCGCGTCTTTAGCCACGAGTCATTGGGGCGATTGATCCGAGGTCTTGATGGCCCGGCGCGGTACGTTTTCCTCCTTCTTTCCTACTTCCAACTTCCTTGTAGGTCGCTTGCTTACGATCTTCTTTGCTACCGGCTCACCCTCTCCCCCCTTTAAAGAAGGCACCCAGGTTCCGTTCACCCTTATGGCGCCCTTCTCAAAGTCGAGCACGACACCATAGTCGTGCATGAAGGGTGTCCCGATAACAACGTCGTATCGGTCAAGGTTTACTATGTCTAGGTAAACCTTCCCGTTCTTTAACGTGCCTACTGACATTGTAGTGTTCGCTCCGAAGTTTATCTTCGAGCGACTTCCTACGCAGCCTAGTTGCAGCGTGAGAGGCGGTTCTAGTGCGAAGCTGGGTATCTTAGCGACGTCCACGACGCTCTGAGATACTCCAGACATCGTGCTACCACTATCGAACAGTGCTAGACATTCAACCCTGTCCAGGTTCATGTAGCACTGTAGTCCCCTCTCCGCGTTCGCACTTGGTTTCGGTCTTGTGCTCGAGGTAACACCTCGAACTCGTCCCGCGTTGCGTTCTACTACTGATCCTTCTTCCACAGGATCGTAGTGTACTCGCGCCATCCTTAGGGATGGCCTCCTTGGGTGTTGTATCGCCGCGGGCGTCGTGGCGTAAGCCCTGCGGTATACAACACCTGATCTCGATTGTCAGGATTCGGAACCGACGTCCGTGCTGGCGTCGGCATCCGGCTCTACGGGTACGAGCGGACGGTCGATGAGCGCTTGAGGGCTGACTTCATCGTCCGCTTGTTCCCGGCTGCTGTGCGGACTACTATCCGTCGACGGTTGTCGGCGTGCTTCCGCGATTTGGCGGCGGCGCTCGTCCCTGAGCTCGCGTTGTTCTCGTTCGTGGCGTAGCTGCCACTCGAGCTCGAGCTTCTCGGTGCGTAGTTGCTGGATCTTCTGCTCGAGTTCCGTCTTCTCGAGCGCATGATTGTTGATACGTTGATACGTTCATGCAGATCTCGTTGCAACCCGTCGATGGTATTCTCCCGGCGTTGCCACGCCACCCACGTTGCCCGGTGAGTGCGGTTGCTATAATGCCGGTCTACTTGCTCGTCATACAACTTCTGATGGAGTTCTTCAGATTCTGCGACGAGCTCAGCAATGCGCTGCTGTCGATCGTGATTCATCCGGATCGTGCGACTCCAGTCGCGTCGCATTCCGGCGATTACGCGCCAGGCCTTCACGGCCTCTTCTTTCCAGTACCTGAGGTGATTGGTACCGAACAACGTACGTAGATCGTACGAGGCGCTTATCATGCCATGCTGACGCTCTGTCAGCGGTCAATCGTCGTGGACGATCCTGTTAGCATGGGAGATGGAGCGGTCGTACTCGCGAGCTCCTCTTGCTCGTGTGTAGTGAGGTCGGGGTTCTATTCAGGTGCGTCGCAATCGTCTTGTACCGTTATGGCGGGCTGATCTGGTATATGCAGTCCTTCAACTGCCTCCCCAGGCTCGCCGATGCTTCCGGTGTCGGAGTATTCGGCACTGAACGGTGTTCCCGCGTCGAACATCTCGCCGTCCGACGAGTCTACAACGCGCATGGCGCCGAAGTAGGCGATGTCTTCGTCTTCCTCGGCTTCCTCATCATGGTGTGTGGCTGATTCATCATCTATTCCCTCTCTATACTGACTACCTTCATAGTCAGAGTCGTACTGCGATCGTATGTACTCTAGGATCGACTGTTCTTGCTCTCCCCCTCGATATCATGTGTTCGCTATCTTCAGGTTCTTGCGTGGCCTCATCGTGCACTTGATGCGATTCAGCGCTTTCGGCGCTGATATCTTCCGATGGTACGTCCTCGGCGTTTCCTTCTCCATCCAGGACATGCGCCATGCGAAGCGCAGGTCTCTGGTTACCATCCTTCGCCTTTGGACAGACAGGATCATTCGAGTAATGGCACGCGAAGCAGGTAACGTTCTTGTATTCTTCCGGGTTCTGGCGTGCACACGCGTTCGTTTGATGCGCTGGCCGTGCCGGGCCTCGTCCTGCTGGTGGATTTCCAGTACGGATGTTGCTACTGGACGGTCTTCGCTGCCCGAAGCGATTTCCTTGCAGGAAACGGCTTCCTTGCCCGAAACGACTGAATGGTCGACGCTGAGTAGTTTGTGCTTGAGGATTGACGCGTGTGGGTCCATCTTGTAGACGCGACGCGTCTTGACGCGTTTGTTGACGCGTCCGCCGCGTCGTACCCGAGCTTGTTGTGGGACCGCCGTAGTCCCGTACGAACAGCTCTCCTGCTTCGTACTCCATCGCGACTTCGACCAGATGCTTAAAACTGGTCAGTTCTGCACTCATGTTCTTGTTCATCAGTAAGTGTTTCGTCATATCTTTCGGTATGCCCTGTAAGAATTTCTTGTTGACGTCGTACGAACTAGGGGTACTTACCATATGTTCTCCCCCAAACTGTTTGACGCCACCAGTTTGTGTATACCTCAGTGCTTCGTAGCGCTTAGTAGGTTCATTCACGTTAGCAACGTTGATGAACCTCTTGTACAATCCGCGCAAGAGGTCCTCAAGCTTCAAGAGACCAGTCGAGGACTGTGCGCCTCGGATAAGTGGTTTCTCGATCGAACCAATCTAACGCGCGTTCGGTCAAGCAGCGTCCTACCAGTACAATCTGGTCGGGTACCATATCAGGCCCGCAAACGCGGTTGATCTTCATGTATCGGATCAACCCGTTCAACCAGGTATAGAAACTTCGCTCATCATCCTTACCTGGCCATACTGATGGGAGCGCTATCTTGACGCTTTTCAAAGGGGGTATATTGGATTCTCTTCGGAGAATAGCGGTTCGTCGCACAATCTCCTCGAGATTCCTTTCGCGGTAAGACGCATACCCTTCTTGACGTTCTTCTTCTACTAACTGGTCAGTAGTCATGCCCGTCATGTCTAATTTCTGATTCTGTACTCTAGACATGAATGGGCTTCGTATGTTACCTTCTTGGAAGGATACACGAGGTCTACGCTGTTGTGGCGTGCTTAAGAGGTGCGCCGAGATTGGTGCACTCTCTCGACGACTTCTCATGTCATTACCTATGTTAGTACGTCCCTGACTACCTCGCGGTGGCCTACTATAGCTCTGCCCCCACAGTCCGCCATCCGTTGGCGCTGACGAGCGCCTTGTGCGTTGTCGTTCACTGAAGGTGTTAGTATTGGGAGGTTCTCGGACCGGTCGCCTGAGATGCGGCGGTTGCTCACGCTCGAAATCCTGGCTATATGCGCCATGGTTAGATGTTTCCTCTTCCGGTACTTCTAGTAAGTCATCGTCCTAATAGAATGATGCCCTTCCCTCCAGTCTCGGAAGAGGTGCTTCCCGACTCGTGCGCACCATAGCTTCTTCTGCTCGTTTAGCATACTCACGCTTGTCCCTCCTTATCAGCTCTTCGGCTTCCTTCCTGGCTGCCCACTGGCGCGCCATATCTTCCAGCTCCTTCTTGCCGCTTACCGCTGAGGATCAATCTCCTCAGTTGTCTCCCGATCTGCGCGCTGTGTCCGCCATACGCGATCATGATGGTACACTGATCGTTTACTCGATCCTTCCAATCGTCTTCATCTTCTGATGGTCTTCTTGCAGCGAAGATCTTTTGCGCTTCGTCGATGTCCCACCCGTTTTCCCTGATGCCCACGGGTGTCTCAGAAGTTTCAGATTCATCGGGCACCCTTTCTCTCGTTCTTGAAATTTGAAAGGTCGATGTGCGGTCGACTTGGTCGTTGCTGACTTGGTCCTTCTTCGCGATCGCGCGTGCTGCTCGAGCGTGGGCGGTAGGATCTGGCTAACCAGGTCCATCTTTTCCGCGAAGCACTCGTTCCAGTCGTTATACTGGCTCAGTTCCTCTAGACATTCCCTTTTGAGCTGAGCCGACAGCTGTCCTAGTGCTCGTGCGATGTCTTCCTTGTTCTTGTGATCTTAATGTTCTTGCAAGGTGGCATTGCTTGCTCGCGGCTGTTGGCGCTGCGAGAGTGGAGTCTCCGTTTGACGTCCTACCTCCACGGAGCTAGATGAGTACGGGTCTTCTCCCGTTGTTCGTACGAACTCGGCCGTTGACACTTCCGTAGGTGCGTCAGGGCTCAGTCGAGGTCGTCCAAAGACGTCGTCTGATACTTCAGTAGCAGCGTCTGATGCGATTCTCGCAGGTGACGCTTCTTCTTTGTTCGAAGAATTTACCGGCGGTTCCGGTGATGCTGATTGAACATTGGCCGGGACGTTTTCCAGTTCAGGTTCTCTCAACGTCGGTTGCGCGAGCGATGCCACGCTCCCGAAAAAGAGTGTTCGTCGTCTATCTGCCCTTATGTTGCCCAGGTTACTTCCTGAGGCCGCTGCAGGGCGTGACCCTACGTCGTCGCTCATTCTATCTTGTTCTTTTCGTTGGCGTTGTGAGGTGTTTCGAGCTTTAGCTTACACTAAAGTTCAAAAATATGTTAGGTGTTAGTGTGGCTTGCTTTTTCACGCGTAGACTTAACTTTAATACCCTCTCAAGGGACGTCGTATTCGTTCTACTCGACGTGTTTTATTTACAAGCGATAATCCCCTCTGCTCAGTCCGTGTCCGTCCTTATATACTAACGAGCCATCCATTCAAGTAGGTTCTACCGTACTCCACGTGTACAGTACGTTGAGCTGCGCATACGGGAGAGAGGTCGAGGATTGGCCGACAGGACGAGCCAACGCCGCGCAGTCAATGCGCGGTCCGGGCTCGAGCCAATCCCCGAGGCATGACCGAGGTGCGCGCAGCGCTGCGTCGAGCGTATGTCCTCGACGCTCGCCTCGATCCTTCTCTCGGGTACTGGATCCTACGAGTAGGATCCATCCCTATGCTATACGCGCAAAGTTCCATTGTCGTATAGTATGCATCTACTATACATTGTATCCTACAATCCCTGCATAAAGCGTCAGCAGGTAGGTTTCGGAACTTGAATAACGACAATGTAGACATGGGCGCGCCATCCAGTCACAGAACGCGTTGAGAATGGACGTGCAGCGTTCTTTCGGCGCGCCTCCGCGATGCCTGCCAGGTATGAGCGGGCCGGCCGCCCTTCGGGAAGTAGAACGCCGCCTTGAGCGCTGCTTTCAACTTGCGCCGGCAGCCCGGCAGGCGGCCGGCCGTCAGAGTGCCGCGCGCGCCTTCGGAATTCGGAAATTGCGCGGTTGCGTCTTCCGAAGGAGGGTCGGACGGACGGCGATCGCGCGCAGTAGGCGTCGCGGACGCGCCGAGGGCGCAACCGGAGAAGCCCGGCGTACCGCACAGAAGCGCTTTCACGGAGACACCGGCGGATGTCGCGGACAAGATCGGGCGGCGGAGGTCTTCAACGCCAGCCTCTGATAAGCAAGTACATGTCGTCTCAACAGTTTGAATACTGCGCTCATAGGACGCTGACGGTTGCGCCCGTGATGCTGCGGGAGCGACCCCGGATTGACGCTGGCTTACCGCGCCGTTTTTACGCTGTTCCGATCTCTCCCGCGGCCTACATCCGCATCTCCGGACGTGTTGCCGCAATTCGTCGAGTGAAACTCGTGGCATCAGCGATTGACCGTTCAAGGCAACTGTCGGCGTCGAGAAGCCGGTGCTTAAGATGAAGAGGTGCGCCGCAGCTTCTGCCCATCTCCCCGTCTTCCCTCATATCCGCTTCTTGCGTCAAGCGCCGCGCGGCTCCTCATAGAAGCCGTTAGCAGAGTATCGACAGGAAAATCTGTTGCAAAATCTGACTGATCAAACATCAACATTTCCGAGTTTTCCGACATATTCTCCTTTCAGCTGCCGCCTCCGGTGCCTGCTGCCAGCCGACGTGTTGCACCTGACGTCCGTTCAAGGTTCACAGTACATAACTATGGACGATAATTTGCAAAGACGCGGGTATAGTTGCATCTCGCTGGCCTTTACAGGCCACGCGTGCGCAGTCTTCTGTACGGGATAGTGGTTGTTAAATGTACCCAAGAAGGCAGTTCTGTGGTCAGTATTCATCACAGCAGGTGAATCAGCCAATCTTTGCCGACCGCTGTTTGATCTGTGATTTCGTTGGGACCTGCTGGTATCAGGACTCATTGCAGTCGTTTTGAACGACTAATGGTGACGGATCGGGTACGTTTTGACTTTCCACGTCTCATGCTAGCCCGTTTATGATTCCAGTGTCAGAGCTCCCTGCCGTCAACGCCGTAGCTACGTCGAAGAAACCTATTACTAAAGTAGACGACAGCCCACCCCACCGCCTTTCGAGCGTGTATATACATTCCAGAAACTTTCACTGGTTGTTACGTCCTAAACCGCAGGGTTTGGGCGGCGTGCCTAGGCGCTAGCGCTTGAGCGGGGCTCGCCAGCGAACTGAGTTCTTCCCGCCTCCATCAGCGCCGCGTATGGGCCTTTCGTCTGATCTAAGTAGATCTCGGCGTCTTGAAGCGTAACCTTCTGTAGCCTGGGCCCTTCCGCGTGCTGCAGAAGGTACCGTGCAAGAGAAGCGGCGCTCTCTGGACTGGCCCGCCCCGTAATCGCCAGCTCCTGTAACATCGGAAGTTCCGCGAGCACGGCCCCCCACCCTCGTTCATCCACTGGAACCCATGAACTTTCTTTGAACGCTAGGTACGTAACGGCGTCTGCGGCGTCTGCCTGGTGAAGGTAGGTGCTGAGCGGAAGAGCCAAGGCCGTTCCCAGATGAGACGGCTTCCGCTGCTTGGGATGCCCCTCCCGCAAAGCCGCGCATTCGTCGCCGGGAAAACTGGCATAGGCGTTTCGCATCGTTAAAAGCCGTCGCACATCGTCCGATGCGATCGACGTAGAGTCTCGCTGAGGTGACACGCCTCGTAGAGCTTCTTGGGCAGTTGGCGCTGCCGCAACGGTGATCAAACGAGGCCAGGAGGATAAAGGGTCTTCGGCTTCGCTGTCAGGAATGACGTCTATTGCCAGACAGCTCAGCGTGTGTATATCAGGAACATCCGGCGGATGCTCTTGAGATTCTTCACTCTCCGTCAGCATCAAAGCCTTCCGCCGTGCGTAGTCCATCGCGGAGACAGTTTCTCCCGGATGCAATAAAATCCACGTCTCCGCGGCCAGTTGCGAGGGAATTTGGTCAAGGGGCGTTACGCCCAAGTCAAAGTCTATGTCAACATGGAACTCCTGCAAGGCTGGCGCACAAATCCAATACATGAGCACTCGCGTGAGTCCTCGGTACCCGGCGCATGTCAAGTGTCGCAACTCGTTCAGTGACACTCTACTTGTGGCCTTCGACTCCACTTCCCAAGGAATGGAGTAGCCGCCTTCGAGTGCATATTGCAACACGACGACGCGCAGATGCGTTGCGATGCGGAGTAGGTGTAAAAGTCCCGAAAGCGACAACGTTGGACCTCCGGGCTCGACGGCGATGTGAAGTTCACGTAGGCCGGGGCTAGTGGGAATGACGTCGGAGTTCTGCACCCGAGCTCGCCGTAATGTCGGTATAACAACCGGAGTAGATTTCAGCTCACGAGATTCTGCGTGGGCGGCATCAAACCGCATCTCTAGATCCACTAAGTGAATCGCTTGGAGCAGGTGCCGGCGCAAGAGCTGCGCGGTACTGAGCTTCGCACCGTCTACGCGGAGGTACTCCGAAGGTAAGGCGACCGCGATATCTTTTGCCCTGTGCAGAAATTTCTCGATGTCCCGATATGCGCAGGCGCAAAGACCCTCCCAACTCAGAAACGATAAGGGATAATCGCCAGCGTTTGCCAGTACATGATCGTAATGTCCTGGCCAACATGCAGCCTGTCGAGCCCATAGTGAGGGAGTGAGGCGGATAAGGGATCGCAGTGAAGCACAGATGTGACATAGTTGGAATATGCGGGGGAGACCGCCGCGACGATCGTCGACACAGGCGGACGCCTGCCGGCTCAGGATACGCTCCCCAAGAGACGTAGATGTTAAGCACAAAGGGTGATCATCGTCGCGATATATGTCATCACGACGCTGGATGTAGTCGCAGAGCCTATCGTGCGGGAGCAGAAGACCTGCGCGCTGGCATGCGTCGTCCTCGAGATCTAGTTCGAAGACGGATAGCTTCAGTTCGGCGGGGAGAACAAGGAAGGGCATTGCATGGCATGACCCGCTCGAAGCAGTGATAAATACCTCATAGGGCGCTTAAAGCCCCAAGGTATGCTCTGGTAGACGCTCAGGTAGCACAAAACAGGCAGAAACTACCTGGAGCGGTAGTTCCGTGGGACGTGGGAAAGACGCGTCGCTTGCCAGCCTCCGCCTGCCGCGCCACCCACGCGCGCATTGGCGGTCGCACAGGAGTCACTCCAGCTCCGGACACTCAATCCTATCGGCGCCAGTGACACGGAGCCCACATCGACGCAGGACGTCTCCGCGAGCGCCAGTGCATTTTATGAATCCTAGAACTTAGGGTTAGCAAAAGTAAGTGTGTCCGAGTACATTCACCCCTGGATGATACGTATCAAACGCCCGCACCCTATTATCCTCGGTGTCAACAAGTTCGCAAACTTCGCCGCAAGCTTTCCCGCTCGAACTGTCTTTCGGTGCGGATGATAGCCGTAGATAGCGTCGGATAAGTGAACGAACGCGAACTCGCCGATGTACAGCAGGCGTCAGGATATCTCGATGCCCCCTGAAGCAATTGCGAAAGCGCAAATGCGCAAAGACGACGATGACGACATCGTTTCGAGCCCATAGAGAAAAGCAGGGTTAGATGAAGAATCTATAGCAAAGCAATGTGTTGATAGCGCCACCACACGGTGCCTCCCGCTGCGGCCCGCGATCTCCCACCAGAGCTGTCAAGTCGGCGCCTCTCACACGGCCTTTCCCGTTGACGCACGCTGGCGCACACGGGGTTTCGGTTGGGGCTATCTCTCACGTCCACCTCCTCGAATTTGTACGCGCTGCGACGAAGGACCAATACAACAAACCCGTTCCACCATTGCACAACTCTACTGCGTATCATCTCCTCGGGCCATGTCCACTCGTCAATCTGGAGCGGCTTCATCTAAGGGAAAAGTCAGTAGAGCGAGTATTAGCAGGCAGAAGGAGCGAACGAAATCAACTGGCAATCGCAAGAAGAAAGTGAACTTCGACGTAGCCGAATGGTTCCGGGCGATGACGCTCCCA